TTGATTGATTGATTGATTGATTGATTGATTGATTGATTGATTGATTGATTGACTGATTGATTGATTGATTGATTGATTGTGTTGTCTACTCCATGCTGTGATGGAAAAAAAGCTGTCATTATTTGTAGATTTATTGGTGAGCTTGAGAGCTTGACAGTCAACAGTTCTAATACATTATTTCTCCTTGTGTGCTGTTTWAAACTCAATTAGGATTAGCAAACAATACATGTTAAGGGAAGAAGTCAACCTAATTCACTAATATAGTTTATTCTCTGTGGAAGTGTTGCACTGAATGACAAATCATAACAACTCACTTTCATGTATTCATCATTCCATTTGCTGTTTGTGAGAACAAGAAAAKACTTTTTAACAATGTATTTGTAGGGGCAACCTGAGTTCTGCTGGAGACTTTGAAAAGTGTCATTTGCTCTCACATAGCAAGCTGAGGATTGGCCTGGAGGGGTATATGCAGTGTACTGGCTCCCTTAAACAGGAAGTGGGTAAGTGGAGACCCCCATGCTTGACTCTGCCACTCAAATTCCAGAAGGAAGTTTTTAGTGGTCGTACGTTAAGCAGAAGGAGGAGAGAACAGAGAATAAGTTAAGGAAGCTAGGCTGAAGGTCAGAAAGGCAATGGTAGAAAATGAGGGTTTAGGATGGGCTGATTGCAAAATAGTTGGTAGTCTCATGATATCACTCTGCAAAGCAAGCAACACCATTGGCTTCCATCACTGGTTTGTCCCCAGGTATTGGTCTTGGATTGGTCCTGCAAAACCACAATAAGTATCTTGAGCACTTTAGAGTTTCCTCGGATCACAGTTCATCAGGATCAGCATGTTTGTCTTGGACGGAGAACCGATCAATGAGTTAGAGGCTATTAGTGTTGTTGGCTCCCCACCGCCTGCTGTAAATCCTGCTGGGCTGGTGATGGCTGAATGTTGATGTGATAATTGACGAAGTGTTTTTTTGAACATGGTGTTTTTGTGCACGGCGTGGTTACAACCGGCTTTTATAGAAGTATGTCTGTGTGTCAGTCTGTCATGTTTGATTTGTCTTTTTTACCACAGCTGGAGGGCTGCTCCTGCTAACCCTCTATGAACTATGTGTGGACAGAATGCCATTGTTGCTCCTATTGGCACATTAGTTTGGGTGCGTGCATGTGAGTCTGTGTGATTGCATGAAAAGCTTGCTTTAAGCCTTGTGCACAAAACTGAACCTCTGACAGAGTACATATCAATACTGAAACTTTCAAATGATTCTTTCCATAACATTGTTGGATTGGTGTGGACTAGAACATCTACAATTCTCTTGACGTGTCTGGTTTTTGGAGGTTGACATTTAATTATTTCGACTCAGTGGATTCTTGGGTGGGGTGTTTGAGGATTGAGCTAAGCTCGTACATGTGTTATCAGAACATGTGTTGTAACTAGGCCCAAGAAGAGTCAATAAGTCCCCAGATTTATAACTGATATCACTGGATATCACATTTTAGACTCATCATTGTGATCTTTGTGTTAATTTTGATTTGGTTTGGCCCAGTTATGTACAGCTTTAATGTAAAAGAAGACCTATGCTTTTAAATCCTTCCTTAAACCCAGGTCTATATAAAGTGGAACCGCAATGCTTCGGTCTGAAGTCCTAGTTGYTACTCCACAAGCCCTTCTTTCACTTCTTTTCTGAAGTGTGTCTCAATGCAGCTTGTTTTGACGCTGTCTCTTTAAATCCAAACAAAGTACTTCATGCCCCACCCTCCTCCAGCTTCCAGACTGGTCAATTCTAGTTTGATAGAAACATTTACAACTATACAGTGGCAGAGAAATGTTTTGTTTACAAATAATTWAAATATGTC